AGGAGTGTATCACCTGCAGGTCAGGAGTTCATGGACCATCTCTCTGGCCAACAGGGAAACCTCCATCCTAATTAAAATATAAAAAATAAGCCCGCTGTGGTGCAAGGTGCCTATACATTCGCTACTCTCAGTGAGGCTGAGCAGGAGAATCTCTTGAACCCAGGGGTGATGGAGGTTGCAGTGAGCCAAGATGCCACTACTTCACTCCGTCCTGGGCAACAGAGCGAAACTCCGTATCCCCCACCCAAAAAAAAAGAAAAAAAATTACCTGTCATCAGGTGGATGCTCCCTGTAGTCAAGGGGGGCCTTACCCAGAAGTCGCGTAGGCAAGGGTGGTCACTGAGCCGTAGGATTTTAGATCTGCCGTGACTAGATGACATGACTTAGTCTGTCGTGGACCAACCTAACCCTGTTCCTCTAAAAGAAATCTACATTCCTAACTATAAGCGTGAGGAACTGCCAAATTAGCCATGGTGCCTGCCTGTAGTTCCAGCTAAAGGCTGAAGCGGTGGGAGGGATTAGTTTGAGCCAGGGAGCTTCAAGACCAGCCCCAGTGGTGATAAGTTAACCACTGTCGCAAAACAAAATTTTTTTTTTTTAGTGAATTGATTAGTTCAAGTGCTCCGGTTAAAAAAACGAAGAACGAAATAATTGGTGTAATATGTCGGCTTTTCATCCTCAGCCAGACTGATTAATGTGTTGAAATCTTAGTAAAGGAATTTCATGTAAATTCATAAGTTTGTCCAGATTTTGTTGTTATATTTATTTTATCACATTCTATTGCATTTTGAAGGGTTTGTGTGTGTGTGTAATAAAATCCTAATATATGTTACTATTTGTGTTGTATATAGTGACGAAAGTAAAACTTCAAAATACAGCCCTGGTCAAAGTGAAAAAGTAAAAACAATACATTATTATATTTCCCCTGAAAGTATACTCTTAAACTGTAATAAGTCATTGAAGCTTGTACAATTTCGATAGACCAAGTGTGTTTAAACAAGGGGCTCTTTAGTTTTTATTATTTTAAGATAAGTTTTATTTCATGGCTCTTAATAGCCCCAGGCTAGATAAAAAAAAAAAAAAAAAAAAATTCTCCCTTCACCGGGTTGTTATGAAGATTAAATTCAAATGTATCACATGCCAGGAACAGTATCTTGCACATAACACGATGAGAAACCAAGGCGATGTGACAGTACAGGTTGAATATCCTTTATTTGAAATTTTTGGGAATAGAAGGATTGCAGATTTTTTTTTAGATTTTGGAATATTTGCATTATACCAATTGAAAATCCCTCGTCTGAAAATCTGAAATACAAAGTGCTCCAATGACCATTGCCTTTGAGCATCTTGTTGGCACTGCAAGTTTCATATTTTGGAGCATTTTGGAGTTTGAATTTTTGGATCACGAATGTCAACCTATATTGGAGATTGTGCTGTTGTGCATGTGAAAGTTTGAAATCTGCATTATGAAATAACTTGCAGATAACATTTTATTCCATTTTAATGTTTGTAACCCAAAGAGGATTCTGACTCGGTTAATGTCGTTTGTAATTTTTGTTTATTAGGAAAACATATTTTAATTAGAATATTTAGTGTAACTATATCTGAAGTGTTCTTAGTTTTAATTTTCATATTTTAATTTAAATATTGTCACTTGGGTGTATATTATTCAGGAGAAAACAACTTATGGCCAAGGAAAAAAGGAATGTCTTTAAAATCAGATGCTGTGCTGTCAAAATCAAAACGAAGAAAAAAACCTGATAGGGTTTTTGAAAATCAAGAGGTCCAAGCTATTGGTGGCAAAGATGTTTCTCTGTTTCTCTTCAGAGCTTTGGGGAAAATTCTGTATTGTAAAAGTAAGAAATTTTTACATTTTTAAAATCTGTTGGATATCACGTAGTCTTAAAATGGAAATAAAATGTCACTTCTAAAAAAATGTCATGTATTTTGGTTCTGCTCTAAGAGTTAGAGCTAGGTCAGATACTGTTTGCCTAGGCCTAAGACATAGTAGGAAAATAGAATATTTTCTGACCATGAGCAGGATTAAAAGTAAAAACATGCTATTGCAGGCCATATCCATGTGTGTAAATCTTTATAGTTTGCAGAAGATAAGACAGCAGATCATCTAGACTTTTGTGGCAAGTGTTGGTAGCCTAAAGCCCTCTTAATACTGGGCTCCAGCCAACAGAGCCTTAGACAAATTACCAGGTAGCTTAAGGTTTCTTTCAATCCTCTTGTATTTCTCTAGTTTACAAGCTTTCTGACTCCCCAACCAGAGATGTTTATTGCCTTTTCTGTCTTTTTTGATGACTGCTCCCTCTCAGTTCTTTCACTCCCTATTGCCCATTTTGGTGTCCCAAATAGTCCCTCCTTTTGATAGCAAATGCCTGTATTCAGTCTGATGATCCTGAAGGAAAGAAATTGGGATTTCTAAATGGAAACCTCCATACCATCTGAGGAAAATGGGCATCACTTAGATGGCATTGAGGACATTCCTCTGTCACTGGATCCTCTTACTTTGAACTTGAGTGACTATTCCCACCTGATTCTTTTCTTTCTCTCCTTTCTTTTCCTCTCCAACATACGTTCATCGTCTCTTGCATTGGCAAATGGAGTTCGTATTCTTTCATGTAGAGAGCAACATCTTCGTACATAGTAGATAAGAGTAAAGACCACTGTATTGAGATGAGAGATCAAGGGAAGAAAGCAACCCAAAGCTGGAAAAGGTGAAATGGGAGTGCATTAGGAAGTGGAATATTTTAAGTCTAGAAAAGCTGTAATCTAAGCATCAGAATTCTTAATTTAGTTCTTGCTAATATGGATAAAATAGATGCTTGCTTCCAGTTGTTTTTATTTATTATTTTTGAACAGTTTGCTTACTATGTTGGTATTGTATGTCTAAAATTTTCAGACTCTTCAAATGACTGGTGCTATATAATTATAAAGAAGGTATTATCTTTAATAATTTCAGCAATTTTTTATAGGAGCATCTTTAACAGAATTAGACTCACCTCGGTTGCCCTCTCATTTATCAGAATATGAACGGGATACATTACTTGTTGAACCTGAGGTAAGTTCTTTAATGACACTTAGTACAGGTTACAAAGGATATATTATTTGTGTGCATATATATTTGACCATTGCATTTTTGCCAAATTTAAGTATATATGCTTGTTTTTATAGGAGATAGTAGAAATGTCACACATGCCTGGAGACTTATTTAATTTATATCTTCACCAAAACTACATAGATTTCTTCATGGATATTGATGATATTGTGAGAGCCAGTGAATTTCTAAGTTTTGCAGATATCCTCAGTGGTGACTGGAATGTAAGACCATTTGACATTTGACTTAAAATGCTTATAGGTATTTCCTTAGAATTAAGAAAAGAAAGTTTACTTTTATCCCTAATTGCCTGACATTGTTTTATGTGACTCTTCTTCATAACTATGCTAAAGTTAATGTATCCAACTCAGTGTTTATAATGAAGCTTCAGTAGCAAATCTGATTTTTCTGCTGATAATATAGTACCAATTGTTTCTAAAGAGTGTGTGTGTGTGTGTGTGTGTGTGTGTATACAGGGTTTCACTAGACCAGCTCAGGCTGGTCTCAAATTCCTGGGCTCAGACAGTCCTTTCGCCTGAGCCTCCCAAAGTGCTGGGTGCTGGGATTACAAGCGTGAACCACCACTCCTGTCTCTAAATTTTCTGGTTTTGTGGTTATGGTTTTTTTTTTTTTTTTTTTGGAGAAGAGGCTCTAGCTATAGCTATGTTACCCAGGCTGGTCTTGAACTACTGGGCTTAGGGGATCCTCTCCTCTCTGCCTTCCAAGTAGCTAGAAATACAGACACACACTACCATGCCCAGTTTTTTTTTGAGACAGTATCTTACTTTTTTGCCCATGCTGGAGTCCAGTGGTACAAAGTGGTTGCTCACTGCAACCTTGACCTTCTGGGCTCAAGCTATCCTCCAACCTCAGGCACTCCCCCATCCAGTAGCTGGGATTACAGGCAAGCACCACTATCCCTAGCTGTTTTTTTTTTTTTTTTCGGGTAGAGACAGGGTTTCACCATGTTACCCATACTGGTCTCGAACTCCTAAGCTCAAGTGATCTGCCTGCCCTGGCCTCTCAAAGTGCTGGGATTACAGGCGTGACCCACCATTCGTGGCCCCAGCTTATTTTCTGATTTTAAAATTAATACATACTCAAAATATGACAACCATTAAAAAGTAGATACAAGAGAAGGAACTGTACATGTTGCTACACTTTCTGCTAGTTTTTAAAATTTATTTCTTTTATATATTTTAAAACTATTTACTATAAAATTTGTATTTTGTTCTTAACGTCTTAAAACTGCCCTTACCAGTACAATAGCCACCAGCCACATGTAGCTATTTAAATTTACTTAAAAATTCAGTTCCTCAGTCATACTAGCCACATCTCCAGTACTTGGTAACTGCATGTGGCTGATGGCTACTTTATTGAACAGCCCAGATACAAAACATTTCCATCATTGCAGGAAGTTCTGTTGGACAACACTGTTTTGATATGCTAATATTTCTGTGTGTTATAAATACTAAAATAAGGCTGGGCTCAGTGGGTCACACCTGTAAACCCAGCACTTAACGAGGCTGAGGCAGGTGGATCACCTGAGCTTATGAGTTTGAGACCAGCTGGGGAAACATGATGAAACCCTATCTCTACAAAAAATGCCAAGAAGATTGCCTGGGTGTAGTGGTCCCAGCTACTCAGGAGGCTGAGGTGGGAGGATGGCTTGAGCCTGAGAGGCAGAGGCTGCAGTGAGTTGAGATCACACCACTGCACTCCAGCCTGGGCAATAGAGCTGGACCTTGTCTCAAAAAATTAAAACATTGAAATAACATTAATAAGTAAAATTAGGAAAGACACAGAAAAACCATTTATGATATAGAGCTTCATTACTCAGCAGTTGCATTTGCTTAACGTTTAAAATAATTGTTTCTTTTTTATTTTGAAATTTTCCAACCTATAAATAAATTAAAAGGATAGTACAGTGAACCAGGAGCAGTGATTCCTGCCACTAATTCTGCACTTTGGGAGCCCAAGGCAGGAAGATCACTTGAGGTCAGAAGTTTGAGAACAGCCTGGGAAACACAGCCAGACCGCATCTCTAGAAGAGATTTTAAAAATTAGCTAGGTATGGTGGCAGGCACCTGTAGTCCTAGCTATTTGGGAAGCTGAGGTGGGAGAATCACTTGAGCCCAGGATTTTGAGGTTACAGTGAGCTGTGATCGTGCCACCACACTCCAGACTAGGCAACAGACCGAGACCCTGTTTTAAATAATAATACAAAATAACGAAAAGAGTATAATTGACTTGTTTGTGACACCAAGGATAAATGCTTGAGGTAGTGGATACCCCATTTACCTTGAGGTAATTATTATGCATTGTATCAAAATAACTCCTGTAACTCATAAATATACAGCTACTAGGTACCCTCACAAATTAAAAATTGAAAAAAATGATGATAGTTCAATGAATAGCTGCATATCCTTAACTTTTGTTTGGCAGTTTGCATATTTTGCCACTTTTTCTTAATCTGTATATTTACATATTTATTTCTGGCTGAATAATTGGAAAGTGTTAATAATTGTGAACATCATGGCACTTAATACTTAAGCAACATAAAAACATTTTTCTATTACAACTACCATAGCATTATCATACCCAACTGAAACTAAACTATAACTAGTTAATATAACTGGCCTCCCAAAGTGCTGGGATTACAGGCATGAGCCACTGTGCCCGGCTGCATAGTCATATTTTAGTTTCAATTATATTTTAATTATATTAACTAACTACGTTAACTAATAAGTTATATAATTAACTTTCCAAAGAAAGTTAACACTAATCTAGCAATATATTCTCCCTATTCAGATTTCCTCATTTGCCTAAAAAATGTATTCAAAGTTGTTTCCCCTACCCCTGTCCAAGATCCACTCAGGGTTTATACATTTAATTTGATTGATATGTCCCAGTGGAATTTGCTTTAGATAAATTTATAGTGCCGTTATTTATAAGGCTGTAGTGATGTTGAAGAAAGTGAACACATAGAAACTAAATACGGTTAGTATTTTGTATGTATCGGGAATACCAGTAATGCTCTTTTATAAATCTATTTTCTTTCACATCTTGTCTCATTTGTTAGACATGCTCTTTACTCAGGGAATATAGCACATCTATAGCTACGAGAGGTGTGATACATTCCAACAAAGCCCGAGGATATGCTCATTGCCAAGGAGGAGGATCAAGTTTTCGACCCTTGCACAAACCTCAGTGGTTTCTAATATATAAAAAGGTAAAAAAAAAAAATTGTATACTTTGAATATGTGAACTTTATAGTATATGAATTATAACTCAAAGCAGTTATTTTCTTTAAAACATAACAAAGGAAAAAATGTGTCATTTTTAATGAAATAGTTGCTAAGGTCCACAATTAGATTCTGAGTTTTTATTAAACATAAAAAGGTTACTCTTAAATGCTTGTACAATTTTTTAAGGGAAAAAAGACCATCAAAATTTGAAAACATATACATATTTTATTAGTTCAGTTTTATTGGAATCAAAGCATAGTTACATTTTATTTTATTTTTTATTTTTTTATTTTTTGAAACGGAGTTTCGCTCTTTTTGCCCAGGCTGGAGTGCAATGGCACGATCTCGGCTCACTGCAACCTCCGCCTCCCAGGTTCAAGCAGTTCTCCTGCCTCAACCTCCCAAGTAGCTGGGATTACAGGCGCCAGCCACCACGCCCGACTAATTTTTTGTATTTTTAGTAGAGACAGGGTTTCACCATGTTGGCCAGGATGGTCTCGATCTCTTGACCTCGTGATCCTCCCGCCTCGGCCTCTCAAAGTGCTGGGATTACAAATGTGAGCCACTGTGCCGGGCCATATTTTATTATTTATTTATTTTTTTAATTGAGGCAGAGTCATTCTGTCGCCAGGCTGGAGTGCAGTGGTGCCATCTCGGCTCATTGTAACCTCAGCCTCCTAGGTTCAAGCAATTCTCTCACCTCAGCCTCCCGAGTAGCTAGGATTACAGGCATGTGCTTCCATGCCCAGCTAAGTTTTGTATTTTTAGTAGAGACAGGGTTTCGCCATGTTGGCCAGGCTCTTCTTGAACTCCTGACCTCAAGTGGTCCACCTGCCTTGGCCTCTCAAAGTGCTAGGATTACAGGCATGAGCCACTGCGCCCAGCTGCATAGTTATATTTTAGTTTCAATTAAAAACAAACTTTAGGGCCAGGCATGGTGGCTCACACCTGTAATCCCAGCACTGTGGAAGGCCAAAACAAGAGGATCACTTGAGCCCAGGAGTTTGAGACCAGCCTGGGCAACATAGTGAGATCCCATATCTACAAGAAAAAGAAAAAAATTATAAATAAATAAACCCTAGTTCAACCTGAGAATGCTGACTGGAAAATAGAAATCCCTAGTATATAAAATTTCAGTTAGGCAGGCAGAATAAGTTTTTTTTTGTTTTTTGTGTTTGAGACTGAGCCTCGCTCTGCGCCAAGCTGGAGTGCAGTGGCGTAATCTTGGCTCACTGCAACCTCCGCCTCCCAGGTTAAAGCAATTCTTCTGCCTCAGCCTCCCTAGTAACTGGGACTAGAGGTGTGCGCCACCTTACCTAGCTAATTTTTGTATTTTTAGTAGAGACAAAGTTTCAGCATGTTAGCCTGGATAGTCTAGATCTCTTGACCTCATGATCCACGTGCCTCGGCCCCCCAGAGTGCTGGGATTACAGGTATGAGCCACCATGCCAGTGCCCGGCCAGGAGGAATAAGTTTTAAGTTCAAGAGATACGTTGTATAACATTGTGACTATTAATGACAATGTATCATGTATTTGAAAATCACTGCCGGGTGTGGTGGCTCACGCCTGTAATCCCAGCACTTTGGGAGGCCAAAGTGGGCATATCATAAGGTCAGAAGATCAAGACCATCCTGGCTAACACAGTGAAACCCTGTCTCTACTAAAAATACAAAAATTTAGTTGGACGTGGCAGCGGGCGCCTGTAATCCCAGCTACTCTGGAGGCTGAGGCAGGAGAATGGCGTGAACCCAGGAGGTGGAGCTTGCAGTGAGCTGACATCGCGCCACTGCACTCTAGCCTGGGAGACAGAGCAAGACTCCGTCTCAAAAAGAAAAAAAGAAAGAAAATCACTAAAACAGTAGATTTTAAGTGTTCTCACCACACACACAAAAATATATGTATGTAAGGTAATGCATATGTTAATTGGCTTGATTTAGCCATTCTACCATATATACATATTTCAGAACATCATATTGTATACTATAAATAGAGAGCTTGTCAAATTAATCAAAGAAAGGAGAGGAAATCTTGGCCTTGCCTCTATGTGGACAAGGTATTTACCTAATGTGTTCTTACTCTCCACAGCAAAAAATGTAGATGATTGAATTATTTAGAGGTAAAAAATGGGTGGCACACAAGTTGAAGACAAAATACACAACAAAGTTTTCAAAATGAAGGTGTGGCCCCCACTTACTAAGCTAATTTTTGTATTTTAGGTAGAGACAAAGTTTCAGCATGTTAGCCTGGATATCTAGATCTCTGACCTCATGATCCACGTGCCTCGGCCCCCCAGAGGTCTGGGATTACAGGTATGAGCACCATGCCAGTGCCGGCCAGAGGAATAAGTTTAAGTTCAAGAACGTGGTATAACATTGTGACTATTAATGACAATGTATCATGTATTTGAAAATCACTGCCGGTGTGGGTGGCTCACGCCTTAATCCCAGCACTTTGGGAGGACCAAAAGGGGCATATCATAAGGTCAGAAGATCAAGACCGATCGCTAACACAGTGAAACCCTGTCTCTACTAAAATACAAAAATTTAGTTGGACGTGGCAGCGGGCGCCCTGTAATCCCAGCTACTCTGGAGGCTGAGCGCAGGAGAATGGCGTGAACCCAGGGTGAGACTTGCAGTGAGCTGACATCCGCGCCACTGCACTCTAGCCTGGGAGACGAGCAAGACTCCGTCTCAAAAAGAAAAAAAGAAAGAAAATCACTAAAAACAGTAATTTTAGGTGTTCTCACCAACACACACAAAAATATATGTATGTTAAGGTAATGCATATTTAATTGGCTTGATTTAGCCATTCTACCATATATACATATTTCAGAACATCATATTGTATACTATAAATAGAGAGCTTGTCAAATTAATCAAAGAAAGGAGAGGAAATCTTGGCCTTGCCTCTATGTGGACAAGGTATTTACCTAATGTGTTCTACTCTCCACAGCAAAAAATGTAAGATGATTGAATTATTTAGAGGTAAAAAAATGGGTGGCACACAAGTTGAAGACAAAATACACAACAAAGTTTTCAAAATGATTGCCAATCTTTAAAAATCAGACTAATGATTAAAAGATACAGATTTCGACTGCGCGCGGTGGCTCACGCCTATAATCCCAGCACTTTTTGGAAGCCAAGCGGGCAGAACACGAGGTCAGGAGTTCCAGACCAGCCTGACCAACATGGTGAAACCCCATCTCTACTAAAAATGCAAAAGTTAGCCGGGTGTGTGGTGCGCTCCTGTAATCCGCCTATAGGAGGCTGAAGCAGGAGAATCGCGTGAACCAAGGAGGCGGGGGTTGCAGTGAGCCAAGATCATGCCACAGCACTGCACTCCATCCTGGGTGACATACAAACTACAAGACTGTCTCAGAAAAAAAAAAAGTTAGATATGAATTCTAGCTTCAGATTTCTGCAATCTCCCTGGTAGGAAAAAAAAAAAAAAAAAAAAAGCCAGGTGCAGTGGCTCACACCTGTATTCAAAGTACTTTGGAAAGCTGATGTGGAAGGATCACTGGAACCCAGGAGTTTGAGACCTGCGTGGGCAAATATGGTAAAATCCCATCTCTATAAAAAAAAAATAAAACAATTAGCTGGGTGTGTGGCAACACACCAGGAGTTTGAAGACCAGCCTGGGCAACATAGTGAGATCCCAAATCTACAGGAAAAAGAAAAACAAAATTTTTTTTTGTTTTTCCTACCTAGTGCCAGCTACTTGAGAGGGTGAATTGGAAGGATTGATTAAGCCTGGAGGCAGAGTTTGCAGTGAACAATGATTGTGCCACTGCACTCCAGCCTGGGCAACAGAGGGAGACCCCCATCTCTCAAAAAACAAAAGAAAGTAAAGTATAACACTGGCTCATT